CCTTCCATTTTCAGTTCGGTTTGATTTCCAGTGCAAATGCAACTACTGAAACGATTTGGCAAAACACGACCAGCTTATTCTCAGATATTATCTATTTCCGGAGATTGTACGAATCATTCCCGTGTATCAGCTTTATTAATTGATTCGCCAGATCAAGCTAAATCCATACTTTTGACTTCAACCCATTATCAGCTCTCCGACCTAATTTACAGTCACAATTACTCGGCTTGCCGCTGAGTTCTCTGCAGTGGTGTGAACGTGTAACTAATTGTGAAATTCTTGGAAATCCTTTTTTTTTGAACCTGTTGAGCACATAGAAACACCGTTTTGAACATTTTTTATTGTGCTCAAACTACGCTAAACGTTATGAATTGCCGTTTTGATTTTACTGACCTGAAGTAAAAACTTACCCGGTCCTATTTAAATTGATCGAAACATTCAGATTTTTCTGCATTTTGTTACCGTTTCGTTTCCGGTGTACGGATGTGATGATTAGGGTTGTTGAATCTCGATGAGGAAACAATTTATAATAATATTAATTAGGCATTTCTTTGATATTTGGAATTGTTGTCACTAAATATTGACGGATTTTATTCACTTGTAATTATGTAATTGTAATTGCTACTCATGAATAACTTTGTGAGCATTTGGTTTTGATGCGTCGATGCTAAAATTTTGAAAATCTTCAGTGTTTTTTATGAGGCGAACGTAGTTGAGGGGCAGTCAGCGATGAGCTCTCGTACAGACGTGAAGGTTCCGCTGAACAGTTGCAATAAGATTTTCATTCAACGAGATTACTCGAAAGGACTCGGTGTGCAGTTTGANCACTTTGAACATCTGTTGTCTTCTGTTCATGTTATTCCTCGTAAATATATTTCTGCAGTTTATCGATGAGGTGAAAAGGGTTTTGTTGGTAAGGTTTTATTGACGCATGCCTCTTTGTATGTTGCTAGTTGTATGCTAAATTCCAGTGTAATCATTAGCGTTAATATCGTCTCTTTTCAGATAACTGAAGAAGAATGGGCACACACAATAACCACTCTTAACGGCTATTACAGTAAAGCCGAAGAGGTGTGTTGTGCGTCGGTGATGGAAACATTAATAGGATGCTTATCGTGTTATATATCTCGGCTTATCACTAAGGTTGTTTCATTTCTTGTTCTTATCATCGTTATTTATTTCCTTTAATTTCAGTGTGCCAGCAAGAGCTGCTCTTTTATTTGCTATAGTATGATCAGTGAGTGATGATGCGATGTATGCTTCGAATAGTAAGATTTCCAACTCCGTAGAATGTGTGCACTATGAAAAGCTGTTTGTGATTGATGTTAAATTCGGTGAGCAGCTGAAGAAAGGTTGTGGATTTTATCCATTTACAGACCCAGTACGAAAAGCAGTTGATCGCAATTAGTACATTTCTGAATGAGCAAAATGAAAATGTCTACGTCCCTGCCGGTTTTCACCTGACTGATCCAATTGAACGTGGATTGAGAGTGGTATGTGTTTCGGTTTTTGTTTGGAATTTATTTNCCATCAACTGTGGCTTGATATTTGATGAAACACCGTTTATTGTTGCTTTCATTCAAAAGAATCTAGTGATTTTCAGTTCGAGATCAGTATTATAAGAACGTCACCCGTATTGCAACGAACTGATTTAACAAATAATTGTGATCTGATATTCGATAAAGCAAATTGATTGATGGTTTATTGTGATTAATACTCGCACCAACTTGACAGCATCGTTAACCCGAACCAACATCCGCGCATCATACGTCCAGTCAAATGTGATAATTTATGCAACATTATTTTTGTATTATACATATGATCTGCTTGTAAGTGATTTTGCTATATTCTCATCTTTGGAGGTTGTATTTTCTCTGCATTATTTCATTTGTGTTGTGTTTTCTTCGTGTTTCTTGACTAAGCTTTCATATAATTCCAACATTGATATTTCGCCTGTGTCGTATTTCGAGAATTAATGGAAGCTTAGATATCTGAATAACAATTCCCGTTTATATGCATATGGCATTAGCGTTCGCTTGTTGATTCATTGGCTTTTCGCTTTTTGCGAAATTCAAACTAAATAGATTTCATAACAGTGCACTGATGGGGTGCAGTATCGGACGGAGTTCGTCCTCTTCCATGAATTTTTGATACAGTATAGTCCATTTTAATGCCATTTTGTTCTCCAGATAATTCATCAGAATAAATTGATATTAACGAGTTGATGAATTTTTTTTCGCGAATACAAAAACGATCACCAAAAGTATTGATCATTTCTGAATGAATTATTCAGAAGCAATTATTTTGATCATCTTGGCAGGGAATGATGAATTCGATTTAATTTATGTTTGCATTTAGAAAATATTGAACTTTAACGATGTATTTTATGGTGTCATTTTGCATGCCGAAATATTCCGTCTTCAGTGCTATTCTCAATCGTTGCATATATGCATATGTATGTATATGTGTGTTATTTGTTACGCAAAGCTGTGCAGTTCATTTGAGAACGATGAAATTTATACGATTAGCAGCACACCGTTAGTATCATCGAATCGTCACCAGTGATGAGAAGATGTTTTCTGTGCTCAACTTCTCATCAGTTAATGTGATATGTTACGCGAATAAAGCATGAACGTAGTTGTGTTGCGATCACTTCTCGTTGATGATTTAATTCAGTTGTTCAAAAAATGTAAAATTAGCAATTTTTTCTTCATAAAATATTAATGTCTGCAATAATCGAACCAATGCTGATATAAAATATCAGTCGACACCGTTCGATGAATATTCGAACGCTTTGATCTGTTGTGTCTTTTTTCATTTATAATCTAATATTTCTTAATTGATTTTGGTCACGTTCATTTCTTTCGTTTTTTGTCAGAACGTTCGCTGAAATTGCCATTTTGGGATAAGCAAAGAAGCGATGAAATTTTCGTTGCTAATGTCAAAAACTTTTGTCTCGAAATTGTTTTATGGTTCGATACGTTTCAGTGATTTTATGAGAAAAGTGCATCAGCACTGATTCATATTCACATTTTTGTTGAAGAAGCTTATCAAAATAACTGATAAAACCGTATATATATATATATATAT